GGGCTTGATGTTTCTGAATGTGAAAATACGGATTCAGAGGGTGGAGTGTAAGGACTGGCTCTTACCCGGGGCTCATAGCAGTGCCCCTAGAGCCTTGCTGTGTGATTCAGGGCCTTGCGTCAAGTATGTCAGCTTCTTTGGCAGGAGAGAGTTCTGCATTTCCAGCCTTCTGAGAAGAAAAACAAAGAAAGAAACCAAAAATCAAATCAACATCCAGATTTGTTGCGCAGAATCTCCTTGTTTTCATCTGGTAGTGGTGTTTATAGGGGCTTGGATGATACCAAGGAGCCCTTGTGGTAGGTGGCGACGCTCACTGTGAGGCCATCCAGGTTGCCTCAGCTGCAGTGCAGAGGCATGTGGCCATCGGCAGGCTGCTGAGGGGGGCTGTTATGTAAGGAGCTGAGGAGGCTGCAAGGAGCCAAAGGTTTTGTAACGTTACTTCTTCAGAAGCAGTAAACAACTGCAGGACGTTGGAATACAGAGGAGCAGAAGTTCGTCTTTTGAACCTGCTGTATGGACAATCGATTTTCTCCTCCTTTCGCAACATCTGGGCTGGGGCGGTTGTGGTACTGCAGCCCTTCCAGCACCCGCGCGTCCTCCCAGCGGCTGCAGGAAATTCCAACCAGGCCCACAGGTGTGAAAGGAGAGCAAGATGGATGGGCAGCCCTGACTTTTACGGAGTACTTGGAACGGATCAGGATCAGGCAGCTGCTTCCACCTGACTTTCATTAAATATTCAAATTCCTCTCTTCTAGGAATGCGTGATTTATCTCATGTGGCAGATTGGAGGCGTGGGGAGGCAGCAGACACTGCTGAGGTCTGCTGCGGGTCTGATTCCTCTCCATGAGAACTTGCAGCCTCATCTCCAGCTCTCTGGGACCATGTCATCCTGGGCACAGCTCTTGCTGGCATGAGGCACTTCATTCCGAGCCCTGCTAATTACCTGTGTCTGTCTTCACACTGAGGAAGAGTCTGCCCCTTGGCATCCTCCTCTTCTGAGGATGTGCTGATGTGCCTCCAGCAGCTCCTCCTGGGCATGGCTGTGTTCTGGCATTGGCTTTCAGAGAACCAGATGTGATTTGATGCTGTGCTCCATCCCTGCTGTGCTGCCGTGAGTCTGTATGCCTCGAGGCTGCTGTGGGTCAGTAGGGCCGTGCTGGCCAGGGACTGTGCTGTGCACAGGAGGAGGTCAGGGTGGTGCTCCTTTCAAGCATAAGATGGTTCAAGGTGGTTATTGCACCTCCTCAGTGAACTAGGGGTGCAGTTCACATATATGTCTGACCCACTGAACATAACAAATAGATTTTGGGAAACACCTTTCATCCCTTCCAGCAACAGAGCACTGTAACAAGCGACATTACTGCGGGGATTGAGCTCGTGCTGTATGGAACCTAACACCAAGAGGTCTCGAGCAGACCGAGGTTTGATTTCTGTTTAAAGTATGAAAGTTTTTAGAGATTGCATGAAATTATAAACGTTGCCTACCAAAACACCAGTGAAGTTGCTGGGCAGAGAGTGTATCGCTGGTGTTGCAGTGGCCACATGAATCCTCTTTTTATTAAAACAGTCTAATCTCTGAAAAATTAGGCCACATACATGGCATGGGGATGAGCAGCACTGCCTGCAGCCAGACAGATTAATACAGCTGTTTAATTAAATTCCACGATTATTGAAAAATATGGTGGGTGCGGCAGTGCTGGATGGGGAAAAGACGGATGATAAAATAAACAGTTTGGAGACGTGTGGGATGGGGGTGGAGAGAGAGAAAAATGGGTATAACGTCATTCCTTAGTTTGTTTAAAAGTTACTTTTCCACAGTCATATGGTGTACACGGCTGTGCTGTTACTTATTAGCAGAAACCATCTCCCAGCCAGGCGTGGGGCAGGGGAGGCGCGGCAGTCCCACACAGCACTGCTCCGTGCCCAGCTCGTGGCCGTGCTCTGATCCCTGTCTGTGCCATCCCACCGCATGCTCCCCTGTTTGAGGAGCGCTGCTGGGGGCTGTGTGCCCTGTGGAGCCCCGTGGGGATGGCTTTGTTGGCCCGTGGGCACGCTGCCTTTCTCTGCTGCCAATTTAAACTGTTTCTACACTCAGATCCTCTTAATTGTGCTGATTCTTTCAAGCTAAACGCAGAACGTAATGAGGGTGGAGTGGTTCTATGGTATTTCCTTACCTGGTCTGAAACACTGACCTAGTGCTTTTTTGGGGCAGGGCTGGAGCCATCCTGGCTGGCACAGGCGTGGCAGCTGGTGAGTGGCTCTGCCATGGAATTAACCCAAATACTGCTACCCAGGTGAGAAACAGAATGAGATGTTCTGGGCGCTGCTGGGTGCCCGCATTCCCCCCATGTGCTGGGAGCTCAGCTTAGGCTGTGTGATGCAGCTCTGCCAGGCAGGGATCGTCCTGGCTCTCACTGCACGCAGGTCTTCACAGCAGTGTGTCCGAGGAGGTAGTTGATGTTGGCAGGAAATTACCGATCTTTCTTTCCATAACTGATGGGGAGTGGGTACTCCAGAGAGCAAGATCTGTGGTAAAGCTCAGGGGGAAGCTGTGATGGCCGGTGAGATTGATGGGATATTTGAACAACATCCTTTGCCGTGAGAGAACACGCGTTCCTCATATGGAAGATGGGCCAGGTTTGGTGTGATCTGTGTGCAGGGAAAGGTGTTATGAGCTGTATGGTGGTGTGCTGTGGTTTGTGTACATACAGAAACAGCTCCTGTCCCCTGGGGAAACGTTACTTGTGAGCCGTATGGTTTCCATCAGAGCGTTCCTCTGTCTGTCTCTGATTTAAAGTGGAGCTTTGACTAAAGCTGATCAATATTTTGCATGCCATGCATGAAGAACCAGATGTTGGAAGTTTCCTATCGTTGAAAGGGAGGGAGGTGAACACCCTGCTCAGACTTGCAGAAATCAATGTTCTCTGACAGAAGTCAGTTGGTTTTCCTAGGAACGATGTATTTCTTTGATTTTCAAGTTGATTTGTCTTCTTACAGAGTTCTAGTTTAATATTTTCAGTGTTTTCTGTGATACGAATAGATGAGAAAGATTCACGTTATGATGGACAGTAACTGCACTTAACATCTGGTGTCCCATCATTTCCAGCAACTCAGCTCCTTCCTTTTGTGCCTTGTCTCCTTCTGGCCTCTGCTGCAAGACAGATGTGAACCACAGAGGAAGATATCACAAGGTGGTGGTGGTGGTTGGGGCATCTTCACACTGCAGGGATTTTGGCAATTCAGGCTGCGCTTCTGGTTCCCACAGAGCCACATCCTTGATGCGTCCTTGAACCCATGACCAGATGGTTCTGTGATTGCTTACTTGGGATTTCTGTGCCGAAGATCCATTTCTGAGCTCTTTGACACCTGCTGGCCCCAAATGAGGTGTTTGTAGGACAGGTTGTGTCCCTGATGCATTTCTGCCTCAGCTTCCTCCTTCAGCTCAGTGCAGGAGGGCAGGAGGAGGTTTTACTGCAGAAATGGGATGGAAGCAGAGCAGAGCGGGGCTGGTTGAGCAGGACTGTGCACGGCTTTGGTGGCTGCTTCACTAACCTTCGTTTGTCATGTCTTAAGCCGTTGCTCTTTTTCTGGCTCAGGAAGAGGGTAATGCATGCAAACAATAGGAATAAGGGGAGGAATAAGTTCTTATGAGGGAAAACAGCAAAAAAATCTTCTGAGGGCACCAGTGGGATTAGTGCCCTGGTGGATTCTTCAAATATTACAGTGAATTTAATTAAATACATCGTGATCCCAAAAGAGGCTAGTCTAATTAGCCAGATCTAGAATACATTTATTCTCTTCTCTTGCACTCCCAATCAGAAGCCTCAGCATCAGCTCCTATCCTATTTTTAATCATTCCTAGACTCAGAGGGCTCTCCTTCCTCCGTGTTAGCTAAGCACACAGAGCTGGGTAATATGTCTTTAATCTTATCTGAGCTGTAACTGAGATAATGCCCGTCAGAATTTTTACCAGAAGGTCCTGGCTGCACGTAGACAATATTTTTGATTGACAAAAAAAATTCTGATTGATCATATCCAGGTTGACCAGCTTATGGGCATGTGGTGAGGAAAGGTTCCATGAGGTGACACAGAAGCCAAACATGGGCTCTTGGGGCTGGACGGTCAGAGCTGGCGTGGATTGCCGCTTAGCTGTAACGTAGGTCTGTGCTGGAAGCACCAAGGAGCCTTCAGCCAGAGCCTCCCGTGCCTTCGGTAGCTGTTTCTCCTATGCTTGTGACGAGCCCCTGCTGCAGGAGCGGGGAACATTACAGAATCTCTGGGGATGGCCGCTGCCCCAGCTGAGTGAGGGAGGCTGCGCTGCTCACCGGCTTGCCTGCAGGCAGGGAGCTCCTCTATGGTTGTAAGAGACAATTGCTGCCTCCCCAGGGTCTGCGACGTGGAATAGGCATTCCCTCCTCTAGTACGGTCCCAGTGCAGACGTCTCTGCTAAGCAATTGATGGATTTTTGCCAAGCAATCAAAGTATACTTTCAAATTGGCTGCACTGTGTGACAGCACAGCGTCAGGGGCTGACAGGTGTTCTCCTGTGCCAGCCCCTGCTGCCGACAGCCAGCCGCGTGCTGCCCCTCTGCCAGCACTGCTTCCAGGGCCCCGGGGTGGCACCTGAGCAGAGCACGGTTTGCTGGGGGGACGGAGTTCTCATGAGGGTGTATCTGTTTGATGTGAAATTGAGTGCCCCCCAGCTTTAAATGTGAAGGAGTTAGCTATGTTTGTGTTGTAAATAGTTCTTAATGTTGGATCTGGTATTTTTTTTCACTGAAGTTGATCCTACCCATCTTTCTCATTTCATCGTGCTATGTTTTCCTCACTTTTTAATCTGAAGAGCATGTGGTATCTTGAGAGTGAACAGTCCTGGTCGTTGTGTTTCTTTCTGAAAAAGCGGTTTCTTACCTAATTCCCAGGTGGCTCTTTTAGCAGTTTGCAGTGGAGAGAATGGAGATGGTGCACAGAATTCACATCTCTCTGCTTTGTTCTTCACAGCACCTTCAGCATCACGAGAGCGGGGTTGAGGGTGAAAGCTGCTATTACCACTGTGTCCTCTGTAACTACTCCACCAAGGCCAAGCTGAACCTCATCCAGCACGTGCGCTCCATGAAACACCAGCGGAGTGAGAGCCTCCGCAAGCTGCAGCGTCTGCAGAAGGGTCTCCCTGAAGAAGAGGAAGACCTGGGACAGATCTTCACCATCCGCAAGTGTCCGGCTGCCGATGTGGGTGAGTGCTGCTTCTCTTGCATGAGCAGCCTCAGGCTGTTGCTTGTGTGCAGCACAGTTTGACTTGCAGCATTAGGGCCAACTGTGGTGTTTCTTGGCAAATGCAGTGATTCCCTTCTTTTTCTTTCCTGTTGTGGGGATGATGCCTGTTGTTTGTGAATAATAAGTATGGAATGTGACAGGACCGCTGTTGTACTCGTGGTGTCACAGATAGCTCTGCCTCACAGGGCTTATGGTTGTGGCCCTAAAGTTATGCATGTGCTTCCTTTCGTACTCATAGGTGATTCTCTCAGTTCCAGTAGGTCTAAATGCAGCTTTGATGTAGAGAACTGTGTATGTTCGGGTTAGAGTCTTAAGCAGTGAAGTTTTGTTTGTCTAAACGTTTGGGCAACTGTAGCAGATCAGCATACTCTACTTTCTAAAGATGTTTCTTGTTGTATCAAATGATGTCTTGAGCACCACTGCCTTCTTGTCTGACTGGTTTGTTGATTTTAGCATGGCAGTCACTTCAGACCTGGAGGAAGATGTGGCTGAGGACTAGGCAGGAGAATGGAAAGATGTGCTTGCCAGTTATCCACATCTCCTCTTGACAAGTGAGCAAAGTGAATGGCACGGGGCAAGCATTTTCTTGTGCAAAAGGTGAAGGGAAGGGATTGCAACCGTGAATCTTGCAACAGAAATTCCCTAAAGGAGACAGTGAGTGTGACCAAAACAAAAATTGTACTTTATTTAATCATTTAAAAGTTTTGAAAGCTTTTTATGTTAGGAAAAAAATGAAATCTCATGAAGGCCTGTTTGGAGGGAGGAGGAGAGCTCACCCAAGAAGGCTGCTATGTGTGCTGCCAGGTGTGATGCCTGAGCTGCAGGCATGCACATGGGTGGAGGTCATCACGCCAACCTCTGAGCTGCAGCCAGAGCTTTCATCCACGGATGCTGTGGAAGTAGCTGAATCTCCCAGAGCAATGCTCTGCAGAGCTGATTTTCTGCAATGAACAGCCATAGTGAGAGGCAGGGAAGAGTGATTGGAGCTTAAAGCTGCTGAGAAAGGAAAGCAGCTGGAGGAGAACACCTGCGGGTCTTAGAAATGCCCCTTGAATTAACACTTGGGTTGCTTTGCTGGTAAGCCTGTTGGTAGGAATGATCTGAAACAATTGCAAAACAGACACAAAGTAAACCAGGAAATTTTTTATTAGGAATTAAATCACATTGTCTGGAAAAAAGTGCCCCATCAGTGACCGTGGAGGCCCAGCAGAGTCGCAGGTGTGCACTGTGCCTTCCCAAAGGTCACAGTGACAGGGACAGCGTGCTGTCCTGGAGGGGACAGGAGCTCTGAGAGCAATTCTGCCTCTCCTCTCCATGATGCTCCGCTCTGAAATAACATTCCGATTCTGAAAGGACTTGTTGCCCAGAGTTGTACGGTTTGTGAGTTTTCTTAAAAGCAAAAAGAGCAACATCTGTGACACACAGAACAATCTTGAAACTTTGTTTGCTTTTTACTTCAGAAGTATCTCTTTGCGCATCTGCCAGGATTATGGTATTGCAGGTAGCAAGTACAGAAACTCACTAGCTACAAAGGAAAAGGTTTTGTCAACCACTTAAAAAAAGGTAATTTCTTAAAACTAAAAATCTTGATTAATCGCTGAGGGGAAATCTCACGGATGAGGCCGGCCCCGTGCAGTGCAGCACCTGGCTTCCCAGAGCTGCCTCATCCCATGCTCCCTCTTTGTGCACAAAGGCTCTGCTCTGAGCAGGACGACCTCTCCTTTGTTCTCCAAACTTTCAGACTCGGTGCTGTGAGATGCTGCTGTTGCACATTTCGCTGCCTGCTGCTCTGCTGCAGCTCTGTGCTGCGGTGCTGTGTGGCAGGGCCAGGTGTGTCCCAGGGCCCACTGAGGCCTTTGCTTTGTCTCAGGTCTGAGATCCTCCTGCGCTCATCCGCCGTGCTCCCGCATGGGTTCCATGCATGGGTTCTGTGCAGCCCTGGGCCCAGTGCCGTGGTTCTGCTTACCGTGCGCTCTTTACAGTTCTGCCTGTTGTACGGCGTGGTGCTGTCTCTGCTGTATCCCTCTCATGTTTTTTGTCCTCCTTTCTGTGGGCTAGGCAGACCTTCCTTGCTGCTCTGTGATGAGAAGTCTCTTGTGATAACTGATAACACGAGAAAATCTTTCCTGTGTTTCAGACGCCTTGAGTAGAAAGTGCTTTTCTGATCTGTGACACTTCTCTGGCAGCGGGGCCCACAGGGACAGTGACTTTTTGCTGATGTGCTGCATTACAAGTGCACTGGTTTGTTTTGATGCCTGCTATTACTCCCCGGTAATCATTGCTGTGATTCTCTCTCCTCTTCTGGTTAATTATATTTGTTTAGAATTCGGTTTCCTTACAAATACAATATTGGCTTTCATTTTCTCCAGAGTGAGTCCCCTTTTGTTACCACTGCTCTTTCTGCAGACTCTTAAAACCTTTTTTAATCCTCACCCTTTTCCACCTTCGGCAAAAATTCAGGAGGGAGCCCAGTCCCAGCCCATGCCACCGAGACTCTGCAGCGTCCCTTCCTGCAGAGCTGCATGCTCAGGCAGGAGCAGCTCCATCTCAGCGCTGGCTCAGTGCCGGCACCACTCCTCACCCCACTCCTGCAACCACACTGCCCCACTGTGCCTGGAGGAGTGGGGGTGTGTGGGTGGTGGGGGTCCAGTGCTGCTAATGAGGTACAGCCCTGGCACAGTGTGTGTCAAGGTGAGGAGCTGCCCTCCTGCTGCAGCCACAGTTGCACTTTCTGATCTGGAGACTTCTGTGACTTTGCTAGAATTGCTTCAAGGTTCTTTACCTCTTTTTTTTTTTTTTTTGTTCCCTAAACTCTTCCAGCTTTTGCTAGTGTTTTCATCTCTTAACTTTGCATAAATCTGTTGGTTAGAGCAATAAAAGATAGCTCAGCCCTTTTGCTGTACCTTTGTTAAACAGGATGTGTGCACCGTGTACATGGAGTCACATTGTTCCCCTCCGTCCTCCAGTGCTTTGTAGCAGGGAGAAGGTGCCAGGGTTCAGTGTGTGTCTGTGTGTACTTAACTCGCTGCTGTGTGCAAGCATGTAGGAAAAAGCGTTGCTGTCTCTGGGGTGGTATGTAGATATTTGCTTGTGTAGAAGCATCTCAATCTGTTGGAAGAGAATGTCTGATCATACCTTAATTAGTCCTCTAACAATCTACAAAGGTCAGTGCCAATTGCCTGTTCATTTACATTTGTAATTGTGATGATTCTTGATTGCACATTAGTTGCAACTCATTCCCTCCCACCCCTCAGAAAACACATGCAGCAGCCTAAGAGCAGCCTGCAGATACAAGGACCTTTGTGTCTGCTTGTGCCAGCAGCACAGCCCTCACTGAAACTTTTGTGTCTTTTATGGCAAAGAAGCTACACTCAACTTCCAGTAAAGGGATGGTGAAGTCATTGTCGGGGAAATTATATGGACATCAAGCAAGAAATTCAGTCCTCCTTGAGCTGGATAATTAAAGACAATTAAACTTTTCTGCTTGCTCTGAGAAGTGTGCTAATTGCACAGGAGGAGGGAGGTGGGCCCAGCCTGGACGTTCAGTGCTTTTGTTGATCAGAGAGCACAGCTTTAGGAGGTGGGAGTTTATTTTCTTCTGTGGGGTATTTTTGGACTGTTGCTGTAGTATCCAGGATGCTGCCACTGCAGATGTCAGCCTCTTGCTGCAGAGGCATCTGTATAATGTTACCCATAAGCTAATTGATTTTTAATGATGGGGGGTTAGGAAAAAACAGTAATAAAAACCGAAAGCTTCTCAAGATGTAGGGATGGATGCACTTAGGACTCATTAGATAATGATAGAAATGAAAGAATGAAGGGAACCCACACCAAATTTTCAATGAGGCTATGCAGGAGTTTCCTTCTAGAAGGCAGTGAGTGCAGGCAGCCTGTTCTGTAACGCGGGCTGTGGTGGGAGCGGGATGCCGTGGGACGCAGCCCACTGCTTGCCTGTAGCATTGCTCTTTGCAACTGTGGGATGTGCGTTTGTTACAGACACAGTAGCTGAGCCTGTTTCTCTTAGGGTGAGTGGCGATTGTAATTAATGTTTCCTCCTTTACCTATTGCTCCTGACTTTCAGGTGCGCTCCTTTCTTCTTTTCCGAGGAAGTCTGAGTACCGTAATATGGACATAATCTATGTGATTGCTGAGAATACTTAGGAAAAAAAAAGTCAAGCGTGATGATCTTAGGTTGTGCTTGAGGCCAGCGCGGAGCTTCTGAAGTCATGTTATATTCCAGTGGAAAAGCTGCCATCTCAGCTCAGCAATGTGAGTCATCCTATAGACTATCTTGCATAGCTAGCAAACGAAAGAATAACTTCTCTTCAGTGGGGCTTTAGTTGCTTTTTCCTAGCTCTGTGTACTTCTGGAGAGCCCCTTTGTCCTGCTGGACACAGGAGTGTTCCCCTATGACCAAACTAAGCCAGCCAGTAATACCACTTCTTGTTCTGAAAAAATTTTTTATGTGTTTTGTAGAGCAAAGGGATGCTCTGCTGAGAACCAGCCCCCTGTGCTTGATGTACTGTTTCAGCAGTTCTCCTAATCTCTGCCAAATCCTGAGCAGCCATCCTCTTCCAACACACAAGGTCATTGTTAGGGGTCCTTGCATGTGAAGTCTGAGGGCAGGCTCTCTGGAAGCAGTTGCTGAACTCAGCCAAGTGCAGTCAAAGAGCGCTTTGTTTGGGCAGGGAAGGAGCCGGAGCTCAGTGTCAGCAGGAGGATCGCTGCCTTTGCGTCCTCCCTTGCCCATCCTGGCCTCACCGGAGCATCCAGCACTGTGCAGCGCACAGTGAGGACTGGCTGCTCTGATCAGATTGAATAAGCTATCTGCATGAATACCTTTACTGTAAAACTGTTCTGGTAGAAATCTGCTCTGTTCCCAGAGCTCCTGGAAGAACGGAGTACTCCATTGCAGCAGCTCTCCCCTTTTGCCCTGTGAGCAGAGGTGAGCGCGCTGTC